CGCACTTGGGTGAAGCGGATGCCCTTGGATGTACTTGGGGGGCCGGCGGGCAAACTGAATTGCATAGCCGAGCCGGATGGTACGGATGAGCCAGCGGGACGGCCTCGGAAGCGCTAGCCAGGCTTCGAGAGACCGTACCAACAAGCCAACCAGGACCACCGACGTACCCGCGGAGGGGCAGCGAGGTGGAAGGCAGGGACCGGAATCCGGAGGCATTGCTGCGGCCGAGAGAGGGGTCTGGGTGTGCGGGGCAACACCTACCTGCTTCCACCGAGGGGCAGGCAGCAGAGAAGGCCCAACTTTCTCTGGGGCGTTCGGCTGCTGGCTGTCCCAAGGCGAAGGAAGGAGGGGAAACGGGGAGCGAGGCCCGAGGGCGTCGAGTCCTGGCTTCCACGCCTCCTTGCCCAGCGAAAGATGAGAGTGACGAGGCCGTAGCGTCGACATCTGACATCTGACCGCTGGAAGAGGGGGCAAGGAGTGGCAAGGCATGGGGGCGTCGCTCACTGCAGTCCGCAACTCTTGTGACCCAGAGATGGAAGAAATTGCTCTATTGAAAATGTGGGTACCCCTGGACTCTGGGGAGCCAGCGGCAGAACAGAAAATGAACAAAGATTCTCCACCCGGCCCTCCTCCGGGGGAGGGAGAGGTGAGGACACCATCTCCCGGAGAGCAACTTTCTCCAACTCTGTGTCGCCCGTCTCAGGGCTGCTGAGACAGGTGGCGCCGTCTTCCTGCGAAAGCTAGATGTCACAGTAGAGCTGGCTGTGACATCTATTCCACAGGGGACTGACACCCTTGGCGACAAACAGACTGAGGAGAAACCACGAGTGACTCGGTAGCACATCGGGTCAAGCTCTTGGTCTCCTCAACCTGCTTCTGAACTGTGGAGAGCCGCTGGGCACAGTCTCCAACAGTGTCGCTGAAAAAGCCAAACCTTGTAAGATAGAAGCACCGAGAAAGCGAACTTTGGCGATGTCTCGCACATCTGCAAGGTTTAGCCGTGGGACGCTTCTGGACCACCAGTGTGGACATCGTCTGACCGAGGGCCAGTGCTGTGACTTAAACCATTTTCTCGGTCAGTCACAATGCACAGCTCAACCCTGACTCAGAGCTACCCTCGTGTACTGTGTGTTTTGGCCTCACACAGACTTGTAGTGGGGATTGGGTGATCTGCCATTAGCAAAGCCACCCCACCACCAAGGGTAGTGAGAGAGGAAAAAACTTTCTCAGCAGATTTTGGCATGTTTGGCTTTCCACATTGGCACCAATATGCTTCCATACTGCTAAAGTTTTTTCACACACATCCGGGCAGGCACGGGGGCGGGGCGAGGCAATTACGCGTCGCACTGCGCCCCCAGAGTAGCCCGGGAAGTGTGGCTGTCAAGTCTGAATCTGATTCAGTATGAGTACACATACCATTACAGTGGGGACTCAGCATCATCATTTCCAGAGTGTAACAGCCCTCTCTCCAATGCAGCAATCGACATCTGATCCTCCCCTGGAGCCCCGAATGAAATAGCTGGTCCCTCATGAGAAGGACCAGATATTCCACCCGAAAGCTGCCAGGCATGCAAAACAGTGAACGTGGCCATAACCTTGATGGCACACGGCACGCTGAGCACTCAACCCCTCGTGAGAAAGGCAAGACGAACAAAATGCCGACGTGGTAATGCTCTCATAAGAGAGCATAAACCACCCACGAACACAGTCTCAGCATGTTTGCGATGCGCTAGAGGAGTGAGGGGTCCGAGGAGGTGGTCTCGTCGGAGAACGCTCACTGTAATCCTCAGATCACCAATGCTATTAACCAAAGTAGCTAGATCGGGGAATAGGCAAAGGGACTCCACCTCGTTTGAGGCACTTGAGTCTCGACCCCGCATCTAGAGCGCCAAATGACGCGCGCTGGGTTGCCGTGACAACCCGTGCTGTCAGCCGGCAGCTCGACGGCACACGGCACGCTGAGCGGCTCAAGCCTTTACGAGAAAGGGGAGACGAACAACGTGCCGACGTGGTCATGCTCTCATGAGAGAACATAAACCACCCACGAACGCAGTCTCAGCATGCTTAAGCCCAGGCACGTGAAACAGTGATCGTGGCCGTCAAATGAGGACAGGAAACGACTGCATCCAGAAACACACGGGTGAAACGTCATCCTGAAAAGGACGCGATCTTCACCCGTGTTGCTCTTTTCACAGAAAACGCTCTCTTATTGTGCTGAAGCACACAGGGATAAACGCGGCAACACAGTGGGGAAACTGCAAGCCCGCTGTGCGCACTCAACCGAATACCAGCTATGACAACAGCTCTTTGAAAAAAGGCAGATCGCGTGAAGCAGCAGCTGGTACCCGGGAGATCGCGAAGATCGCTGAAGCGCCGTCACACCAACACAGAGAGGTCTCGGAGAAAACAGCAGACTCGTTGAGCGTGAAGATAAATTACTAATCTTGAAGCTCATCCACTCAGAGGACACAACCGGTCGGCTCCGAAGTTAAAAGCATATGTGTGTGCGCTCGCTTCCGCTTTATACCCGCACTGGCAGGCGGGGCGCGGAATGCAAGTCCTGCATGCCAATATTCATTGGCTTGTTTTAATTCACTCGAAGGCAATTGGTCTCCCTAGCGTGATCCCAATTAGTTGGAAACTCCTCAGACGAGACATAGGAGTTCCCGAACGAAAGGGAACAAATGATTCTGTTTATACGTTAACTCGACCTCTCCCGCCATCTAGCTTTTTAAAATGAATTGCGAGAATTTGACACCCTGTGACACCATAAACGATAAATTTACTTCCTTGAAGTCACCATCGTATACCCTTCATTAACGGACTTGTGGAAGCCCTTTATGAAGGGATTCAGGTGTTCACTTTTGTTTGGAACGCCCCAACAAATGGCATCCCCTTCGCGAAGTGCCCTTTCAAGGGCACAAAAGCAACTGTTTGGAATTTGGCCCAGTTGCCATTCTGTTGTAGTAAAGACATCACAAATACCCTCTACAAAAAAAAAGAACTAAGGTGGTACCATAATACAGTGACGTATTAGTTGATAATACCATGGTACAAAATGATTACCTTAATAACAGAGGTGTAAAGTCCAGGGGTCAGAAAGTAAAAGTCCTGCCATATGTTTATTCCACACATGAACTCAGCCAGCTGATTTCACTAATTAGTTATATCTCCTGGCTGAAAAGCTGTGCTAATTAGCAAATCCAGGTGATTGGACACACATATGCTTTTCGCTGAGGAGCCGGTCGGTGTCCAGTCCTCCGCGAAGGTACAGCAAGCATGGCGACGGGACGAGATGTCTCCGTTCCCTCCTCAGGGAACGAGGGTTACCATACGTAACCGAGACGTTCCCTTTCGTTCGGGAACTCCTACGTCTCGTCGGAGGAGTTTCCAACGAATTGGGATCCCTAATAAAACGCCATGGTGCTGGCCCCTTCCACCGCCCAGCTTAGCTTCCCGCCAAAGCAGTTTCTTAGTTTTCTTTACGGCGGGAGCTAGCTAGGAAGAATCGCACTGCTGTTCCGCAAGACCCGCTCAGTGGATTTGGATAACACTGGGGAAGCGTGCCCAACCTGTAGGAGGGAGCGCTGAGGAGCCCCTGCCCGCCCGAAGGGAGGCACTGGAATACACATATGTACTGACCCATGGGGTAGTGAAACATATGGCAGTCCCTGAGGTAGTCCCAGCCCGAGGGGTGGGAGCGTACTCAGCAGGGACGACAGAACAGGTCTGTCGAGGAAAGAAACGGAGCTAACCTGGAGGGTAGCTGGAACGTTGAAAATATGGGTCGCCGTAGGGACCACTGTAAGGCCACCCAGTCTAATAACAACTCTACGAGAGGTAATAGACCAGGCGCCGGGCGAACTGCCTCACCAGGTGCTGGAGGGGTGATGGAGGAACTCACGAGGTTAACCGTATGTTGGGGAACCAACAGAGCAAAAAGACGCACGTATCCGGCCCATGGGGCGGGACTGGCGTAGCAAGCCGACATGACCTATTTCCTCGCGCTACTGGCCGTAGCAAGTACACGGGAGGAAACAGGTTCAACACAGAGGCTATAAAATTAGGTGTCGCCCAGCCCGCAGCTCTACAGATGTCTGTCAGCGAGGCGCCTTGCGCCAGCGCCCAGGAGGAGGCGACACTCCTAGTGGAGTGTGCCGTCAACCTAGGTGGACAAGGCACGTCCCGGGACTCGGACGATAGCCCGGACGATAGCATCCACTAACCAGTGGGCTAACCTCTGCTTGGAGACAGCATTCCCCTTCTGATGGCCTTCGTAACAGACGAAGAGCTGATCTTAGGTCCTGAAGCTTTGCGTTCTGTCCACGTAACAACGCAGAGCGCGGACGGGACAGAGGAAAGCTAGGGCTGGGTGTGCCTCCTCCCGGGGCAGTGCTTGCAGGTTCATTACCTGATCTACAAACGGAGTGGTAGGAACCTTGGGCACATATCCGAACCGGGGTCTCAGAACAACGTGAGAAAGACCCCGTCCGAACTCCAGGCACGATTCGTCAACCGAAAATGCCTGCAGATCCCCTACCCTCTTTAAAGAAGCCAAAGCCAACAGGAGAGCTGTCTTCATAGACAGGATATTAAACTCAACCGTAGGTAAGGGCTCAAAAGGGGGCCTCTGGAGTGCTCTGAGCACTAGACACAGAGAGGTCTCGAGGAAACAGCAGACTCGTTGAGCATGAAGATATATCGCAACCTTGAAGCTCATCCACTCAGAGGACACAACCGGTCGGCTCCGAAGCAAAAAGCATATGTGTGTACGCTCGCTTCCGCTTTATACCCGCACTGGCAGGCGGGGCGTGGAATGCAACTCCTGAATGAACATTGGCTCGTTTTAGTTCACTCGAAGGCAATTGGTCTCCCTAGCGTGATCCCAATTCGTTGGAAACTCCTCCGACGAGACGTAGGAGTTCCCGAACGAAAGGGAACATGTTAGTACTATGGAACTTTTTTAGTATTCTTGTACTTTTTTGGCAAAGAAGATTTACCCGCAACTCGAAGAGTCATGGTTTTCTCATCGTGACCCAGTGTATTGGAGGCTGTGCATGTGTAATGTCCTTCATCATGCTTTCTCGCTGATGAAATGTAGAGAGTTGTGTTTCTCAACCTGGGAACAAAATGAATTCACAAGCACCACCCGGTTCACAAGCACCACCCGGTAAACAAGAAGCGCAATTATAGTTAATAAACTCTTCCTGCAAAACTTACCCCATGATAATTTTGCCTCCAGTTTGGACAGACTGGCCTAGCTTTGACCACTTGATTGAAGGAGCAGGGTGTCCTAACACTTGGCAGTGAATCGTCACTTCAGCTCCTACAGGAGACGTTATCACCGTTGGCCAGATAGTCACGGATGGAGGTTCTGAAATAAGGCCAGATTGAGCACAGAAAAGAATATAATAATGAAATGAGCTTAGCAAACATAAAATGGAGATTTCAAAATTCACAAATTACTAGCCAATGTTTTATGGGTTCGTGAAACACCCCTTTGGTTCATGATAGAACTACAGGTGTTTCAGGACATTGTGATAGAAATGTCCTGAAACACCTGGTTTCCTTGATTTATTTTATTGTTGAATTTCGTTTTATTATCTTATTTCTATAATGTGTATGTATGTTGTTTTTTTTCTTTTCTGTGAATGCACACATGTATTTCTCTTCTGTAAAGCACTTTGTAAACACTGTTTTTAAAAGTTTCTATATAAAGAAAGCTTTACTTACTAAATGCCAAATTAAATGCATATTTAAAATGTATTAAATGAAAAAATCATATACTTAAAAATTCCTAAAAACGTAATATATATATATATATATATATTATTTTATATATTATTATTATTAGTAGTAGTAGTAGTATTACAACAAATCAATTTAAATGAATTTTAAAACATTTTATTTTATATACAAAAATAGTAAAAAAAAAAAAAAAAGTATCATATAAATAGCATATTGATTTGGCAGGTGGAACAATGCTACATATATCACAAGAGGTTCTTCTTTAAGACACACATGGAATCTGTGCAGATTTATACATAATTTAAATGTCCATTATTTATAAAATGCACACTTAGCCTTTGCAGGTTTCTTTATTGAATATTCTAATTTTGCTATTCGTTCAGGTATCAAGAGGAGTTTAGTACTCAGCTCCATTTACCAAATTTAAAAATTATTTAGTATTAAAAAGTACTAAAAGTCATTCTGCAGATTCTGTCTGGGCCTGTTGGGTTTCAGTAGACATAAAAGCACTTCCTGGTTTATATGTGCAGTGAAATGTTTATGATTTCATAGTTCAGACTAAACCTTTTTCGGATAACACCTCTTCAGTTACTTTCACCTAATTACTTCCACAAAGTCAAATAACTCCTTACCATGAACATCCAGGAAGATTTTTTTCGAGGTGAGAGCCTTTTTGAGAAGGGAATTAGATGCTCTGCAGAAATACAATCCACTGTCTGTCTCGTGTACACTGAAACACATATACTCACAGTTAAATAGATAATGAAGATATATACTGTATTTTACATTTTTAATGTTTTAACTTATTACAAGATTCAATTTACAGATAGGACACACACATCACAATTCAGCAAAAACAGAGTCAATAAATCAAGGGTGTCCAATCCTGCTCCTGGAGGGCCACTGAACTGAATGAACTGCAGCAAACAAATCTACACAACACACCTGTGGAAGAGCAGGTCTCCATTAGGATCAGCAGTATAATGCAGTCCTGGGTGGAGGAGTCTGTTGTTCTTAAACCAGGACACTTGTGCTTGAGGTCTGCTGTGAGGAGGCCTACAGGATAGAGTCGCAGATTCACCCTTCCTCACTGTTAGGTTGGCAGGTTCAAGCATAAAGGTCGAATCCATAACTGCGTGAGAAAGAATGAAAAGGTATGCTAAATAGAGGACAGGTGTGAGCAAATACCACCTGGAACGAAAGTAGACTCTTACGAAAGGAAGTACCTGCAGGTAAGAGGTAGGCTGGTTGGGATTTCACTTTCTCCTTCTCATTGTGAGCTTCACAGAAATATAGCCCCTCATCTTCTGACAAAACTCTCCTAGGAAGAAGGGTTTCACACCTTTAATGCCTTCTGTTACAAGTATTTAAATTCACCATGAAATCAAAATTGACCATTCTTATTTTTTATGGAATATTGCAGTATGTTTTATAGGCAAAATGATTTATCCATGCACATCATTATTGGTTTTAATTTATGTCGCCTCATAATCTTTAATCAAAATAACTTCCACTTCCTCTTGCAGCAACATCTCTTCTCGGATGGCGTGTTTATTGGCGTGAGGGCGGGACAACCTGTCACTCACATGAGATCAATGATCTCGATTGACGATCAATGATCAAACGGTCCAATCAATTCTCCATGGACAAAATCAAGTTCTGTTCTACATTTTTTCTTGTTTGAGAAGCCATTTTACTCAGATATATATGTCACAATAGGGAAGAAAAGACTAACTTCCATTTCTTGCCAATTTTAGCAACAAAGGGTATTTTATAAATATTCAGGCATATATTAATGATTTATTGATTAATGATCATATATTTCATTAAACTGTGTTTTATTAAAACTCTTTATTCTTGAAGAAATGTATATATTTTGTTGTTTTAATTTCACACTTATTGATTCATAATCTGCCTTAGAAAAATCTCACTTGAAAATCAGCAGTTGTCCGTCCTTCTGCAGATCCCATCTAGAAGAATTGGGTAATGGACGTCCATCCTTAAACCACTGCACTGTGGGAATGGGGAAGCCTTCAACAAAGCAGTGGAGTGCCGCTTCCTTTTCAACAGGTACAGTGACATTTTGTGGGCCCTCAATGACCTTTATGTCTACATTGAAACCTGTGCAATAATAAATAAAATAAAAAAACACTAAGAAATAAGAATGCCAGATTTGCAAAATATATCAAAATTGTATGTCTTACCATGCACTATCAGAGTTGCTGCTTGACTCTCTTTGCTTATGTTCAGAAGAGGATTGTGGGTGATACAGATATATATTCCTTGGTCTGTTTTGGTGATGTTAGCCATGTGCAAGGTGCCCGAAGTCTTCCTTTGACTCCCTCCTCCATACTGTCCCTAGTGGTAGTATTTAGCAAATAAATATTATTACACTTGTCATGGAGCCCTTTCCAGTTTCCCCTTTTGGCGACAAATCATCGGATCTGGCTGTATAAAAACCCATCTCTCTCCACGGATTTGACGTGGTTGCACTTTCTTTGTGGAGTTTGTGTGCTAAAGCATATAAATAAGTTCTGCACAATCTCTGAGAGATGGGCTTCAAAGTTATCAATTTGTGACTACTCAGCTGGCATGTGTGATTGTAAATAGAATAAAAGTCACGTCCAAACCACACCCACGAACAGTTTTAATCAAACAGCAACGCTCTTTGACTTTCCAAATTCTCATTGGTCAAGACGAGATCTTAACAGGAAATATATCACCAAACAATATATCATTTCGTAAAGGCTTATTAGTAAAACTAAAACCATCTTTAGTTTTAATTGATTGTAAGTTATTTTATTATAGCCATATTTGATTGTATAACAGTCTGTGTACTTACTATAAAAGTGTTTTAGTTCTGTAGCTACCTGAATCTGGTTTCCTTTTTTGAGAACTCTGCCATTTTTCAACCATGAAATCTGAGCAGGAGGAGAACTATCACCAGAGACACACTGAAGGAAAACATCATGTCCCTCTTCAGTTCTCATGGACTGAGGGTGAAAGAACACATCTTCCAGGCCTACAAACAAACAAACACAAATTACAATCTACCATTTTCATGCGTGTGATTCCTGTGTGTAACCATTAACATAATCTCTCTTATATAATTTCAATAATTCATATTATTTTATACTAATGCAAGATACATACATGCTTTGCTGATCATGACAGTGGTCTGAATCTGTTTGTTCCCTCTCTTTGCACTGCACGAATAGTTTCCAAAGTCTTCCTCTTTTAAGTGTGGAAAGAAAAGTGAGCCATTGGCCATTTGATGAATCCTGCTGTCCAGACCACCAGTGTCTCTCTCCCATTTCACTGGTGGAGGACCCTTTGGGCCAGAGTCAAACACTGTGCAGTGCAGCATCAGAGAGCTATTTAAAATCCCAACGCCATCTTCTGGTAAGATTGAAAATACTAAGCAAAAGATAAAAGTATGCAAGGAAATAAATTAATATAAAAAGATGATGTAAATATAAAGAGAGTATAATATAAATATTTTTTAGAGATCTAAAGTAAACATAATATGTTCTAAAAGCACTGTTAAGTGTGAAATGTGTGTTGTTACCTTGAAAAGCCATTTCTACCTCCTCTGAAAAATAAGTGCTGCTGTTGTACCCTGATATAGTTGATTCAATCATAATAAATAATATGTTTGATTTGGGTAAAAACAATTAATTTAGATGCTAAATATTTTCTACCAAAAAAAAAAAAAAAAAAAAAAAAACTGTATATATATATATATATATATATATATATATATATATATATATATATATATATATATATGTTGTAATATAAATTATCCAACCCCCATTGCAAATCACAAAACGTTTTACCTTACCACTAAGAGCACTCCTAAATGGCAGTAAAAGTATTTAGTTAAGAGTTTTCTCTTAAAACCTACCGGTATTCACAAAGCTGACCAACTTTTACTAAGGAATAGAGAGAAGTTTTAAAGGAGTAGTTCACTTTAAAATGAAAATGACCCCATGATTTACTCCCCCTCAAGCCATCCTAGGTGTATATGACTTTCTTCTTTCAGACGAATAAAATTATATTAATAAACACCCTGACGCTTCTGAGCTTTATAATGGCAGTGCATTGCAACCACCAGTTTAAAGATCAAAAAAGTGCATCCATCCATCATAAAATAACTCCACATGGCTCTGGGACATTAAAAATCCCATGGCACTTCTCGTAAAGAGTAGGGGTGTAACCCTCGTGTCCTGGCCAAATTCCATACATTGGCCCTTGCCAATCATGGCCTCATAAAAATCCCCATTAACTGAATTGGCTCGATCACACTCTCTCTCCTCTCCAACTATAGCTGGTGTGTGGTGAGTGCACTGGCGCCGTTGTACTTTGGCTGACGTCGCGTCATCCAAGGGCTTCATTAGTTGCACTGGCTTTGCTTGAGCTAGAACACGTGAAATATCTGAATTGTCTAGGTTTGTTGAGTGTCACGTTTGACTGCATGTTAGAAATAGTATCATCCTTCACAAACAAGGAACAGGGTACATAAAGATAGCGAATCCACTAAATGTTCCTAGAGACACCGTTGAAAGCATAGTTCACAAGTTCAAAGTTAAAGGAACAGTGGTTACTCTACCTGGACAGGGCAGAAAAAGGAAGCTATCAACGGCTACATCCAGATTTCTGAGAAGGCAGATTCAGAAAAAAACGAGGGACTGCAAAAGACCTGCAGCAAGACTTGGTGGCAACAGGCTCTGAGGTTTCAGCTTGCACAGTAAGGCGCATACTAAACGCATGCCAGAACTCCAAGACGTACACCACTACTGACCAAAAAGCACAAGAAAAGTCGGCTCCAATATGCTCAAAATCATATAAATAAGTCACAGAAGCTTTGGGATTCTGTTCTGTGTAGCGATGAAACAAAACTGGAACTTTTCGGCCCAATGGATCAGCGTGTGATTCAGCATGGTGGTGCTCGGTGATGCTCTAGGGCTGCTTTGCATCCTCTGGCACTGGAAACCTGCAGCGTGTGGAAGGCAAGATGGATTCATTGAAGTATCAGAAAATCCTAAGAGAAATCCTAGGTCATGCCGTCAGTGAGGAAGCTGAAGCTTGGACCTTCCTGTAAGAGCCAATTTAATATTTCAATAATTTGTATATTAGTATTGTTTGTTTGGAGTGTTAATTTTGCAAGCACTAACTGAAGGTATCATATTTGTTATCTTTCTTTGAATTTTGATATTTCCAGTATTTTCTGATGTATAATTTCTGTTCTGTTTCTTTAATGGTTACGCCCACTGGTGGGCGGAAGATTGAACTTGAAGTAGTTTGTGCACAGAAGAAAAAGGAGAAACAGTTCTTACCGTTGGGTCGGTCATTTATGGATAAAACTCGTGTTTAAACGTTTAGGGTAACACAAGTTAAAGGTTTAACAAGTGAAATCATAGGCTGGAGCCAACAGGATTTTGTATATTTTTGTAATTTTATGTTTGATTAAACTCGCACTTGTTTATGGATTTTTGACTGACTTTTGTGACGAGTAAGAACATTTTTTTCCTGCTAACACCAGTGAAGTGAACCTAGGACTTTGGATTTACATTTAAGTAAGAAAACTTCTCTTTTTCGTCTGAAAGGAGCAATATTTTTTATTTAACGAGAAGATTATCGAGTGATTCACGCATCACCAGAAACCATAACGTCACTTGGATTCTAACGGACCATCGCGGGATTAGTGTCAGAGATTCACTGTTGGCATTTGTGATTACAGGCACTAACGTATTTAACTGATGGGACTTTAGTGAACTTTCACAACCTTTTCGGACGTTTTGAGGATATTATTGGACTTTGGATTATTGAACTTTGCTGCGTCATGGAACAGCCATGTTTGCGTCTCCACTCAGTATCGCAAGAGGGCGATCTCATCTGCTTTTGTGATGAACGCAATGCGCGCTTTGAACACGAACATTGATTACTATGGAAACAGAGGATTTGAACGCAACCTCTAAAAGAGTGCCGAAGATGACTGTTAAAGCACAAGAGGAGCGGCTGAATCAGTTGGTGGGAACTAGAAGAGCCAAGTTGGGACATTTAACAAGGCAAATGAGAGAAATTGAAACTTTGCTTGAGGACTCTGGTAATGTTGAAACTGTGTATGAATGCATAAATGGTGAGTTTGCACAGTCCTTTGTTGCATTCCAAGACATTAATAATGCAATCAGAGAACTTATGTCAGATGATGAGGCATCAGTTACACTGGTTCGAACCGAAGTCTCAAGCAGTTAAGCACTTTGTAGACAAAGTTAAAGACTGGATTGATAGAGTAAAACTCCAATCCAGAGAGGCAGAGCAAGTTGATGCAGAGGTTGAATGTACTGACAGTGCTTCAATGGTTCTTCTTCACAACTGCCTCTCTTTCCGAAAAAATCTGGTAGTCAGGTGGCCTCAGGTGTTTTATCTACAGCTTCTTCTAGACTGAAAATTTAAACTGAAAGGGCAGAGCTGTTGGCACGAGCTAATGCGTTGAAGCAGAAACAAGACCTTAAGAGAGAGGAAACTGAGCTAAAGGCGAAGAAGGAAAATTTAGAGCTCCAAACTGCTATTGCTGCGGCTGAAGCCAAACTTCAGGTTTTGTCCATGTATGAACCAGCTCGTAGTGTTTCTGATGCATCTGGTAGTGCAGCAAGGGCCGCCACAACTGCAGAAACCCTTAAAACTACATCCAATAAAGTAGTACGGCCCAAAACATTTTTTCATGAACTAGCACCTGACACTGATGCAGTTCCAAGAGTCAGCTTGACCACCAAGGTCAGATGTGAGAATTCCTTCACAGGTTGATTCAGGAAGCTTGTTCAACATCATGCAACGTCAAAATGACATCCCTGAGATTTTCATAAAACAGTGGTCTTTATCTACTCTTCCGCCTACGGACATTCCAGTTTTTAGTGGAGACCCGCTTGATTTCACATTCTTTATTTGAGCCTTTGAACATGGAGTAGAGAATAAGACAACAAATAACAAAGACAGATTGTACTTCCTAGAGCAGTTCACTAAGGGGCAACCAAAGGTTCTGGTACGCAGTTGTCAACACATGCTTTCTGAAAGGGGCTACAAAGAAGCTAAGAGACTACTCTACCAACATTTTGGCAATGAGTATACAATCGCCACCGCCTATACAGAAAAGGCACTGAACTGGCCAGCTGTAAAGTCTGAGGATAACAAAGCCTTAAAGGAGTTTGCTCTTTTCCTTACTGGTTGTCGCAACACTATTGACAGTGTGGAATATGTTGAAGAGATGGACAGTCCAAGCAACATGCGTGCGATTGTATCAAAGCTTCCTTTCAAATTGAGAGAAAAGTGGAGAGCAGTTGCCTGTGAGCTTCAAGAAAGGACTGGCTTGAGAGCAAGATTCTCTGACTTGGTTAGTTTTGTAGACAAGCAGGCAAAGATTGTTTCGCATCCACTGTTTGGCAACATTCAGGATAACAACATGGCAAAAGACAATATTAAATTCAAAGCAAACAGATCAAGTAACTTACAAGTGAGAGAAAGGAAAACCACATTTGCAACATGTGTGACACCTTTTCCAGAACCTAAAAAAACAGAACAAAGGAACAATATGTAGCAAAACCAAGGCATGGAACCCTCTGCTTATGCTGTAATAAAGACCATGGATTGGACGTTTGCAGCATCCTGAAGCATAAGCCACACAAAGAAAACTTGACTTTCTAAAATCTAAAGGCTTGTGCTATGGTTGCTTATTACCAGGTCACATGAGTAAAGGTTGTGTGCAAAGACTTGCTTGTCAAAAATGCTCATTAAAGCATCCAACCATCCTTCATCTCCCAGAAAAGAACCCAGTGCTTCCAGAATCTCAAGATAGAGACAGCCCCTCAACTGTCACCGAGTCAGGTACCGTAACAAGCGAAACTTGTGGCTGTACGGGGGCTGGTCATTTGGTGTGCTCTTTAGCCATAGTACCAGTTAGAGTTAAGTCCAAAAAAAGCAATCAGGAAGTTTTGACTTATGCCTTTTTGGACCCTGGAAGTTCTGCGACATTTTGCACAGAACAGCTAATGAAGGAATTAAAACTAACTGGCAGGAAAACAAACATTCTGCTGCGTACTATGGGACAGGAAAGGTCTGTTAGCACACATGTTTTTAACGAACTGGAAGTAAGCGGACTGAATGAGAATAATTTTGTGGATCTCCCTCAGGTGTTCTCACAAAAAGAGATTCCAGTCAAAGGAGAAAACATTCTGCAACAAAAGGATGTTAAGAAATGGAAATATCTTGAAGAGGTGCATCTTCCTCAGATCGATGCAGGTATTGGCTTACTAACAAATGTACCCAAGATTCTTGAGCCATGGAAAATCATCAACAGCAGAGGAGATGGGCCTTATGCTGTCAAGACCATCCTGGGCTGGATTGTAAATGGACCTTTG